TTTTGTCAGGGAAGGTGAAAGGAACGCCGGTCAACTAAACTTAGTGATTCAAAACGCAAATTTTTCTGGAAGATAAATAAGGTAAGGCATTAATTGACCTGACCTCTTATTTTCAGTGCAATAGCCCGCTGTGCGTTTGTATCTTCATTGTGATTTTTGTCTGGTTTATTTGCCTGATCCAACAGTTGTAACAAGGTGATAGTGGAGATTGCTTTCTGGTTTGATTAAGGTCGACCTCGTTATCACGTACATGTCGAAGTCACCGGTGCCCTTTGTGTACTCTGTCTTCGTGCGGAATGAGAATCCGAGGTATAGATTCACAGCTGAAGAGACTGCACGCATGCTTTCTAAGAACTGCGTGCATCTGCTGCCTCCCCACCACTGGAGGAGAACGAAAATGGTCGCCTGGGTAGTATCCAACTGTCACCCTGCAAATAATAGGATTGATTATGCAAACGCGATTAACAACTTCATTCCCGTAAGGTTTTTGTACATCAATCACTTCTCTGCTTAGTAATGCTTCTCCTTGCAAGGCGTTATTGCATAGCATTATTCTTAGCTACAAAGCACCACCTTGATAGTGTACAAAACTCTACGGACGGGTGTGCAATTTAAACCGTACCTTAGTGCTCAAATTCTCAAAAAGTGGTCTCAGTAGGCGCCTCATTGAGGCACTCATGCACTTTACTTTAGCGCATTTCACTGTCTGCGTTAAATAACCTTCAGATGACTCTCGACTGATTGTTTAAGTTGTCATTGAGTTGGGAGTGGAGCTGAGGCTCTAGGGCAGTAGCAGTTCCACTACGACGTATAGGTAGTGCACCGTTGATCATCCTCACTTAATTTCAAAGTCCTTGGTCAATGCCGTGCCTTTGTAGGTAGACGTATACGGTCGCAAAAGGAAGCCGCTCCCACCCAATGTCGATGGATTTCATTTCTTATCTCTTAACTACAAGTTCTATCTCGCCTTCGAGAATTCCAATTGCCGGGATTACATCACCGAAAAGGTCTATTTCAATGCGATGCAGTGCGTAACACTTCTCCTTTAACTCGCCTAAATGCAATCTGTCCCACACATACATTATTCAACCAACCACTTCAAAACTGCACAACGCACATGGGAGACTGATGTGGCCTTTCAACTCCCTTTTCATCTGCATGATTGTTGAAATGTGCCGTGCCTTGCTGCTCAGAGACAAGTTGCCGTACCAAGAGCGAATCAAGGAGAGCAGCCGCTAGCTGTGTCTAGTAGGTGAGAGTGCGCTATCCAAACATCACCTTTGCATGAGTGTGACTTGAGCAGCATGACGAGCAATGCTGTGCGAGCAGCTGTTAACCACAAGTCCTCACATCCCCTCTGTGAAAGGAAGGGACAGTGGTCCGTCCTGCCTACTAGCTATACCAATCAGCAGGTACGGTGCACAGTGGTGCGGCAGCGGATCGTATCGTGGATTGCGATTGGCTACCGATGTCATCGGGTGACAATCATGTGATTCAAGCCAAAACCGATGCTCACTCTAGTAGTTTCCGTTAGCGTCCGTTTACATGGTCAGCCTTAGGCCTTACCGCTTTCAGCATCCTTCCAACATTTACACGAAATATGTCACTTGCCCTCAGTAATTGGACCTTTACCTTTACAAGATTTATAACAACGTTTGCCTGCGCATTCCTTTTTGACTTCATTCGGCTTTGCACGCTGGTGGAATTGTCTGTCTATGACTTTATTCGGTTATTTATCCATTTGATTCGCATGCAGACATGACATGGTTCCGATTGTGCTGGGTGCCTTCAAGGAAGACTATGAAGGTCTGTTGCCTCCACGGTCGTACATCAACGTGGATGACTACAGGACGATTCGCGAACTGACCGACTACCTACTCTACTTGGACAGGAATGACACTGCCTATGCAACCTACTTTGCCTGGAAGGAGCATGGAAGCTTTCATGTGCGTTTTGAGTACTGTTTCAATCAAAAGTTATTGCAAGGCGCGTGAGGAATCGTAACCGTTTGCTGCGCGAAACATAATGATGGGTACGCATGATTGGGAGGGCACGATTACGAGAGTGCGCTTGTATGCAAGAGGTGAGGTATGTTTGTGTAATGAGGCCAAATTTCTCACCTTCCTTGGGTGCGTTGTACACATACATGGCAGGTAGTGTAGTCACCACCATTTTCTGAAATCAAAGCATGTAGGGTCTGTTGTATGTCTGAAGCACAATGGTTCTCTCCAATGTAAGGACTGCATTCGCACTCCTCCAGAGTGATCATGCGGATATCTGTTGAGATAAGGAAAGGGTTGAGTTTGTGCGGCAAAGAGCACCCACTTGAAGTTTCCTATACACAGGACAGTCAGCGTCATAGCGAACATTCCTGGTGAACATTACGCAAAGGAAGCGAGCACTGAATGCGCATGAGTAGGGAGGCGCAAACTAACTTTTCTTATGTTGGAGGCATTTTTCCTCTTGACAAGACTTCACTTGACGTCTGACTTTGTGCGGTTCATACCTCCGCGTAGGCGAGTAATGCACAGGTCGCACATTCATGCTTGTATCAACAACCACCCTGCACACGAGACGTACAAGGTGGATATAAACAACTGCCTCTCACATTGGGCAACTGAGTGGGGGGTTGCGCAACTAAATGTATATCATGTTGGGTGAGTTAGGTGGATGGAGGTGGGAACTACTTTTTAAATAACATATTAACCACCGAATTCTAGAGGCCAAATCGAATGGACTGTCGACTCTGTGGTTTTATGCATGGACTAAATGCTGGAAAAGTGAGCTTACCAAAGCAGAATGCCTCTGACCTTCTCGATCTCCAAAGTCTCTGCTTTAACCGTCCTTTGGCACCAAAAGGCGAACGTGATGCCCGATCCAATCCTTCATCCCAAACTCCGTGTATTAATCACTCCCCATTTTTGGCCTTTCTTACCTTCCCGTTTATGCAACTCTTATTGTGCCATTTCAAACTATGTTAATCTTAGATGATTTGTCAATGAA